CAGAGGGTACTGCTGCCCTACAGGCACCACAGCTCGGTTCAGGAAGCCATTTTCTATCCGAGAACTTCCCACCATATTTGGAGGATACAGGCAGAAATATGGACCAATTAGAGCGAGACAGACCAGCTTGTATTTACGTTCACAGTCGCACATAATCATCATAATAATGGCTTTGCATTGGTATTATGCTGTGGCTGTAGCTGCGAGCATGCTGTTCACAGCTTGCTGTCACCCAGCTTTCAACAAAAACCTTTAAATGGTGCACGGTTCTGTGCTGATCACGTTTTAGCTTGCCAGAATGAGCATTTGCAGTTTGCATGTCCACATAATGGCAGCATATTGGTAATTTTCTCGAGCAAAAAGGGTTCTCAGTTTTAAAAAATGTCTATGCACCATCTTTCCCAGCACTTTTAAAGGCCTAGAGCTGTGTTGTGGTAGAAACCATGTGTTTAAGGTGATAATCCATGAGAAAAAAAAACAATAAGAAGTGCTTAAATCACTCAGCGTGACATTCTTTCACACTCTTGACGCCACATCTCATTTGTCTGTGGTCTACGTAGTGTTCTGTTAAACGGCAAATGAGGGAAGGAGACGTATGAAGTAATTAGTCCCCTACTGAGAAACAAACTTGAGCGGTTAAAGATGCAGTGGAAAAACAGCATTACATAAGATCGTTGTGATGAAATATTTCTATGTAAATATAGGTTTGCTAAAAGAAAGTGCATAGCAGACGTCATAATCTTTCAACAGATCAATATCTTAAAACAGAAAGGCTCATTGGCTGCTAATGTTCCTTCGGATCTCTCGATGCAAAGTGCCAGAAACTCATGTGATCATCATTGCCAAACTGCGTGAAAAACGTCTTTTTGCAAATAGCAAAGACCCATGAAACTGCACTTATGAAACGACACATTTCATTGGAAGAAAACGGAGATGAGGATCAGGAATACAGGATATCCCTTCAACACTGGATTTCATTCAAAGCTCTGTTAATCCGAAGATTTAAAGCACGCCGTAACTTGCGGGCAGCACCTCCAAATATTGCTGTGCTTCTGCCATGAAAACTAAACTTCTAAACTTCTGTAGGTCCAAGATTTTTAGATATACAGCAATAATGTGTGTGGATCATTGTGTGTCTGCTGCAGCTTTGAGTGACAGTGATTGTCCAAGGAAGGTGAAGCAGAAAGCAGTGTTATTCTGAGGAAGATGAGGGATTCAAAGCCTTAGTCTCACACTGTAGCAGTGACACTGAGAAACCATTAAATATTAAGAGGATGTGTGCTGGACAGATAGGTAAAGATGGCTGGTGGCACCATTGCTGGCAAAGTTTTATAATGTGAGAATATTCTGTCTCTCACTTCCCAGACTATAGTGAGCTTTATACTGTAGCTCTGCCCACTGTGAAATCGCAATGGTCCCAAATTCACGTCCAAATATTCACTACCGTTCAAAGGTTTTGGGTCAGTAAAGATGATTTTGAAAAAAATTATTACTTATTCAACAAGGACTGACCCTGACATGAATTTTTCACTTTCTTTTTAACATTAATATGAGTTCCCCTAGCCTGTATATGGTCCCCCATGGCTAGAAATTTCAATTGGGGTAAACCGCCTTTGAGAAAATGAAAGCTCAGACGAGCTGATCTTGAATCTCCCCTGTATGATGTCATACGGAGGAAAGGTTACCTCCCCTTTCTCTGCTTTGCCCGCCCAGAGAATTTGGCTCGCCCATGAGAAAATGAGCTAGGAAGTACGAACTTGCGAGTTTTTCCCTTGAGAGATATCATGGCTTGCAAATAAGCGAAGCATGGCAGTTGATCAGTGTTCGGATGTACAAATGAACACCAAAGTCATTTTTAGTTCCTTAAAGGGATACTCCACTTTTTTTTGGAAATAGGCTCATTTTACCACTCCCCAAGAGTTAAACAGTTGGGTTGTACCGTTTTCGAATGTATTAAGCCGATTTTCTGATATTTAGAAGAATATCAGTAACCAGACAGTTTCTGGTCTCATTGACTTCCATAGTATATTTTTTTCCTACTATGGAAGTCAATGAGACCAGAAAATGTCCAGTTACTGATATTCTTCTAAATATCAGAAAATCGGCTGAATGGTTTCGAAAACGGTAAAACTCAACTGTTTAACTCTTGGGGAGTGGTAAAATGAGCCTATTTCCAAAAAAAAGTGGAGTATCCCTTTAATCTGAGCCTCTGAAGAAACAATGGGTTAATTTTATTTTCTCTGGAAATGCGCCGACACAACTTCCCAAAGTTTTGTATGGTCCAAACATTTCACCGACGACCGTCTGATATAAATCGATCGAACTACAGAACCAAGCAACAATTTCTGATGTGTAAGTTAGCCTAATTGTTCAAGTTCAGACAGGTAATCTTTTTCTCAAAATCGTTCAATACTGTTTATGCAAAAGTCAAGCCAGTGACTAAAATATCAACTTCACATCGTTTCTTTTAGTAGGATGAAAAAAAACTTATTTAAATTGCACAACGAAGCTCTTACTGTACATCATCGGGTTTGCATTGGTGAAAGCATTAGAGAGAGTGCAGAAACTGCGTTGCAATAATAAAATCTTAATTCTCGCGATCAACGGACTGTCCTTGCTTGCTCAATGCTCATCACGGCAACATTTTATTTGATGGGAATAGATCTATATACTTTAAAAGCTTCAAACGATTCGTTAATCTCGATAGCTGTAATAGTAAAAACATATAATAGCTGTAGTAAAAGTATTCAAGAGAGTTTCACATGTAATATGTAGGTATTTCAAATGCAAGCACGTCAGCCAATCACAGCAGTGGCCGGTGGCACTGAATCCCACACTAGACACGCCCCTTCAAACAGAGCGTTCAAATCAGAGGCTAAAATCAGGCTAGGAAAATTACCTTTCATTTCTAAAAAATGACAGTTCTTTTAAAATTTGTATTCATCATGGGATCGTAACAAAAATAGTAATTAGTACAAATGTTGTCAATGATTTCTGAAGGACCATGTGACACTGAAGACTAAAGTAATGGCTGCTGAAATTTCAGCTTTGCCATCACAGGAATAAATTACTAAAATATATAAAAATATAAAACAGTAATTTGAAAAACATTGCTACTTACTGTATTTTTTTAACAAATAAATGCAGCCTTGGTGAGCATAAGATACTTCTTTCAAAAACATTATGAAGTCTTACATCCCCCAAACTTTAGAACAGTAGTGTAACTGAAACACCGGCAATGATTCATCGCTTTCAGTGTGGACGGATAAATTACACGTTGCTGGTTAGGACAAGGTGTTAAGCCCAGATTTATTTCCTTTCTCCCTGTATCTTGTATTCTCCTGCTGGTGATGCAATAGTTAGCATGAACTAAGAGCTAAAACCACTTACAGTAGTTTGTCAAGCTCATGGGAAAGTTAAATCCTACCTCTTTCGGGACACAGAGGAAGGTATATCCTACGTGCTTGTCTCTTAAGCCTTTAGATTTGATCACTACACATCTCAAGAGTTCACACCTGGCATGGCCTGTCTGCTGGATGAAGTGTGTCCTGCCCAAACACTGCGTGACAGGATCTTCATTCTAAATGGAAGCATTATGTAATGGGAAGAACAGAGAATGGTCAACACCATCTGATTAGAGCTTCATCAGCACTCTGAGATTCATTCAGCCTATGGACCTTACCTACACCGAACTGACCTCACAGTACTGCATGCTTTTAACAGATGCATGTCAACCCTGAGGTTATGGAATAAAGCGAGCCCCTCGCACGACAGAGCGAGAAGTATATTGTTTACCACAGTGACCTTAATGCTGGTACATGGACGTACTGTACCTGCACGTGCGCACACACAAACACACTCGCTCACACAGACACTCCTGCATGGATGAAGATGCTTCTGGCTCGTTCATCTCTACAGCTGCTTTTTATCTCTCAGCCCATCCTAGTAGAAAACGAAAAAGGCCCAAAATAAACAGACAATAGCGACTCTCCATTCAATTTCAACAACACATAAAAAAAGTAATCTGTACACTAAAATCCAACACAGCTTTGAGGAAAACCCTCTTTGAGCGGGGAGTTTATGCTTCAGAATATTATATACAAAGTTTTCTTGTTCTTATGTCTATGGCATGGAGGTGAAAAATCTCAGAGAGTACCGTGGAAGTACCTTACCATTGAGATCGGTAGGTGTATTCTCTGTGAAAAATAAAACAAAACCTATACACACTCATTTACAGCCGTTATTGTTTGTGATTTGCTGTTTAAATGTCCTATGAATCTAAAATAGCATTTCAAATGTCAAATTTAAGCTTTGCCTCAATTGGTGTATGTAACCAGTTCAAATATGTCCTACAATAACAATATCCTCATATAAAACTATGCTTCACAATGAACAATCACTTCCCTGTTATGAAAACGTCCTCTAACTGCATACTTTATCAGATATTAAAACCCCTAAACACCTTATTATAAAACATCTTTAAAGAAATGATTTTGGTGGCAAAAATATAAGCATATCAACACAGTGATCTCCAAAGTGTATCAAATCCAAGCTTCTTGTGAAATCAGTTTCGCACCACACATGCTCTGCAGCTCCATACGCACAGCGCACACATGCACACGCACACGGTAGGGATCCAAACATAAAAGAAGAGCATAGATGACGTGAAGACCACACCATACTTGGTCCTTCTCTGCAGAAAGAGCACGCTTAAAAATGTCTTTATGCAACTGTGGGGGAGAATATCGCATGCCGTCTTTCAAACTAAATCATCTTAGCCCATGACAAAAAGGAGGAAGAATATAAAAGATGACCCCCTCGAGCCATATACGCACACACACGAAAGAAAATCCATCAAATGTCAATGTAGATCCATCTAATACTGAAACTGGAACTAAATGTTGGACTACATCAGGCTCGTACTGATGACCTCACAACATCAAGTGCATCTGATATGTACAGAACGAGGTACAAAGGGATGATGCTCTATTTGGCAGACTGGTATGACATCTGTAAAAGATTTATTTTTTCTTCCCCCAAGCAATGAGAAATCTGCACCACAAATTCCACACTGTGATAACTACTTAGACTTTTTTTTTTCTCCACTTGTCTGTTTGTTTGTGTTGATGTAATTTAAATGGCAACATGACTGAAGTCTCATATTTTCTTCAAGGCAGTATCAGCTGCCGAAATTAAGTCCCATTTAATGGTGTTCAGGTACTTTCCCCTCGGCTATCAGCGAGGGGACAGGGATCAAGGTCCCGCAGGTTGTCCCGTGTGTATCCACTAATCAGACAGTCTTTCTGTCTTTTCAAGATTTTCCTAAAATATAACGAAGAAAATCAGAAGCAGGTATTGTGAGGTGAAGTTTTTTTTTTTTTGTCTCCTGTTTCTTCATTGCCCTTTTAAAGGGTAGCTTTTCGAGTTAGTCCACATATTCAGTCAGCAAGTTTACACCAATCTATATATTTATATAGATTCCTTGTTTTCATAGCTTTAAAAATCTTTACAAAAAAAAAAAACTCTTTTAAAAAAGAAGACAATAAAAACAAAACGAAAAAAATTAATAATAAAATAATAAAACTGGAAAAAGTAAGAGGAAAATTCAATGGGGGGGGGGGGGGGGGGGTTGCTGGCAAACTGAACGGTCATCCTGTGATTGGTGGCGGCTAAAGCTAAACGATCAGGTGTTGTGACCATATTTTCCAGACGCAGCTTTCCCGAGTCGAGCCCATTAGGGTGTCTGGGGGTTAATGGGGGATTCAGATGTCACAGATGGAGAAGGAGAGTTTTTCGGAGGAGGGGGCAGGTGCATATCCTAGGTGGTCCAGAAGGAAAATCAGGCTTAGGGTCTGTGGTTGCCGCCCCATCCCTTCACGTTGGCTCTCTGCCGCCTCCTCTTGTCCTCTTCCCAGTCTAATCGTGGCATGTGGTCAAACCTCTACCGATTGGATCTGGTTCATCTGGGCCCTCATCATCTGAACGCTGTTGAGGATCTTCTTCTGATGACCTGCTAGTGTCACTCCGACCCTGAGAATGTCCCTACGTACAAACACACACAGAGAGAAAGAGGCGAGGTTAAACATGAGCACTCTGAAGGCAGATGCCATAATGCTGTAGTAACACATTTTTATCAACTGGCTTCAGCACATTAAGCCAAAGTAAACTTGGCATGTTAGTTCAAGACTAAGTAACTGGTAAATTCCTTTATCCCCATCATCCTGTTTGTTGCACAATCCAAGCGTCTCTGAAACAACAACACCTCCTTTGTTTTCACGGCGTGTCTGGTTAGGCCAGGTAGCAGTTGAGGTGAGGAGAGCAGAGGAATATAAGAATGCATTTCTCTGGCTCCCATTTCAACTGTGATTGACAGCCAGCAACAAAGATGTGGAAATATACTATTTGTTTCTGAATTTAAACCTAGACTGTGTCTAATCACTAAGAAACTGCATTTGAGAATTCATTTTGAAAAAAGACAAAGGGGATAATAAGGATATTGAACATTACAGCTACACAATCAATAAAACTGAACTGTGCATGTATCATTACACTGCAAAAGGCTGTCATTTACATAACACTTTACAATAAGGTTCCAATTCTTTAACTTTATTTAATGCATAAAATATTAAGAATGAATAATGAACTACATTTTAACATCATGTATTAATCTAGCATGTATGTATAATCTTTTTTTATAACATATATTTATAATATACCATTCAAATGTTTGAGGTCAGGAAGATTTTTTTTGTTTCTGAAAGACAAACAAAGCCTTTTTTTGTTATGCTCACAAAGGCTGCATTTGTCTGCAAAAATACAGTAAAAACAGTACAATTGTGAAATACAATTTAAACAAACTGTTATTTCCTCCAATGGCAAAACTGAATTTTCATTAAGTCTCCAGTGTCACATGATCCTTCAGAAATCCTTCTAAAATGCTGATTCGCTGGACAAGTAACATTTCTTATAATTATCAATGTTGAAAAACAGTTATAATGCTTAATCGTGGAAACTGTGATACATTTCAGGATTCTTTTATGAATATTAAGTAAAACAAAAAATTATTCAAGACATAAATCTCTTGTAACATTTACCATTGCTACTACTTTATTATTATTATTATTATCTTATTGACCCCAAACTTCTGAATGCTAGAATATATATATATATATATATATATATATATATATATATATTTATTTATTTATTTATTTTTTGATAGTCAGCACTTATGGAGTAAAAGATCCCCTAGAGGTTCTGCTGACTTGGTGATCAAAGTATGGGTGTATTCCAGGCTGTTCTCTCGTAGATATAACACTTACTCCATGGTCATCTGGGAAACGAGGTCGAAGCTGGTGAAGTTGCCATTGGCAAAGTTGTCTTTGTATTGGCCCATCTTAATAGCATCCAGCCAATCATCCACAGTGCTAAAGCTCGAGAAGTCAGGCACACTGCGGTCAAGCAAGGGCAGATGCACACTGGAAGGCAATGAGAAAGAGAGAGACATGAGTCACACGGTTGCAGTAAATATAGCCTTTAGCCACCAAGTACACACTGAAATATGGTACATTCCTACACTACATGTGGTTCACATTTATTTGCCATATTATCAATGAGAAAAAAAAAAAAGATCTTGTGCATATTTTTGGCAATTGTGACGCTTGGGATTTTTGAGCTATATTATTTCTTGGGTCAATATAATTCAATCTCTGGAGAGGACAAAAAGATGTTAGGAAATAATTTAAGTGCAAAATATCCTCTGCCCTGTTTAATTCTTCAAAAAAAAAAAAAAAATGCAATTAATGTCCCCAGAAGACCATACTTTCTAGCAACATTACTGTAGCATATAAGCCTTGAGGCAAAAAGAGCTGGTGGGAATCACGCCAAACCAAAGCCTCTCACCATCATTAATGACAGAAGAAACTGGGCCACTTTACATTTGTCCACAAGAAACTGACTAGAGTGCGACTTTGTTGTACAAGCTTTATTATTGTTTGAAGTTCATGATCGCCTGAAGCTTTCCATAATGATTTGATCCATCACCCATATACCCAGTTGATTTTATGTATGTACGTAAGAATTCAATTCCAAAAGAAATAACTGACAGCATTAATAAAGTCTACCACAGGTATCAGAACTTAAACCAAAGCATTGACCCCAGATTGAAAAGAGTATGGTAATACTTTCGAAGGAGGCTGTTTAAAGACATTTCTATTAAGCTCATATTCCATTTGGTTTTGTAAATATGCCTTGAATGATGCGAGCGAGACAGTTCTGGCAAAAGGTCAGGCGTAGAAAATTTCCCCTAATATATGAAACGCACACAAAAGGACACATGCAAACAGACATACACTTCAGCGTAATGGCGAGGGTGTAAGTACTAAATACCTTAAAAAAGAGACTTCAAAGCAAGTAATAAAGCTGTTTTTGTAGCCACACATATATCATGTAACATGGATGGATCTGCACTCCTCTCCAAACAATACAGTATTATGTATGTGCAGCGGTTAGACGGAAAACGCCATTACGATCCCTTGATGCTGCCATGGCATACCATAGTGTAAAGTTTCACGTCTGTGTCTTCACTCTTTTCCAAAAAGGCAATGTGTCTCCATAAACTAAATACTGTAGAAACTTGTTTAAACATCTCTGTGACATTCTACATAAATGTGATTTATTGTAATGACTATTGCACACTACACTGCACAAGTTATGTCAGATGAGTCAAAGTGTTGAACGTATGCCCCGTTTCAAAGCTTAGGGAACCGCAGTCTTGCAGGTGACTGATTTGGAACACACTACACGTGAATTTATTACAACACAATATGATGTTAGCATGAAGCTATTGCATAGATATATTTGGCAAAATATATTTAACTTCTAATATTTTTTCCAAAAAAATAAAAATAAAAAATTCAATCAGTCTGTTGCTTTCTCAAAATTAAGGTATCATAGAAGGTACCTGTAGCATCATGTTGCTCTTAGGGTCCGAACTACAAATGATTTTTGGTGATCGATTAATCTTGATTATTTATTTGATCCATCAATTAAAAAAGTATTCATTTAAATCCTAAAATGTATTCCATCTGCATGACTAATGTTTACAAATAAGGATAGAAGTTATGTGCTGAGGAAAACATGTCTCTATGCATTAACCTGCATTCACATTAACCAATTTTTTAAGGCCCTAATATGACACATTCTCGTGTTTAGGAGAACTTCCCCACAGAAGCTCATACTGCGTCCTGTTTTTCACTAATGTCAAATGATTCACATCTTTAATGTGAGTTGACTGGCAGATATTTTCCTTGCATAGTGGGTAGACAAGACTAACCGATGATTTGCTGCAGCCCTAGTTGATTCATATCTTTTAAAACACCCTTCACATCAGTGATGCATTAAACTGCTGTCAGACTGGGTAGCCCACTAGGTTTTACAACCACGACTCATGCGTGTTTTCTAACTCACCCTGATGACAGTGGAGTCATGGCCTTCAGGCTGTTGGGGTTACGGATCATCTTGTCCAGGTTGTTGACAATCTGGCTGAACTTGGGCCGGTTGTTGCGGTCTTTCTGCCAGCAGTCCAGCATGAGCTGGTGGAGGGCACTCGGGCAGTCCATGGGAGGGGGTAGCCGGTAGTCTTGCTCAATGGCGTTGATGACCTGTAGAGGGAGACACAGATCCGTAAGGGTCTCTTGCCTGTTATTAAGAGGGGCGGAGAAAGATACGCTTGATGCATCTCAAGCACTACATATTAAAATTTCAGTGGCAGGTGACAAACGATGGCGGGAAAGAGGGAGGGATGGTTTCGAGAAGTGACATGAGACAGATAAGAACTTCACATCACTACGTAATATGTGGTCACGCTCTTAACATCTTTAATTGTTTCTCGGGCCTGGTGTCTGTTAATCAGTACGTTTAATTCTTGGAATTGTAACACAATGTACATAACATTCAATGTATTACATTGAAATGAATTTAATTGAAATAAATGTAATGTATTGCCATAAACATTGTTTTGATAGGAGCTGTCGGCACGGCGCAAGGCAGGTGGCAGTAGATACGAGCCAGCGTCTGGGCGGGGGGTTGTAACACCGCAGGAGACAGAGGATTGATCTGCAGTCTTCATAAATGCACTGTGATCATTATCTGGGTCTTAGGGGGACACAAGGAAGCCATTTGTCATTGGCCGCAAACACACACACGATCACACTCACCCTTCACACTTACACAACCACACACACAGACTATAAATAAGCGGTCACAGTCAGCTGCTATCTAAATACCTCCTAAAATCAGCTAATAGATCTTGATTATAAGGGTGCTGATAACAACAATTTGGCAGTGCGTGCGTTTCCTCTCTGATCACATGTGAAAAAAAGAACAGTCTTAGAGTTACTAAGTTTTTTGGCAGCCTTCAGCCCGAGTCTGGCTCCCTCCCGCCCTACTCATTTCCAATCATGCTACATCTGTCAGATTAAATATGATTAACACATGGCCTGTAATATACACGCCGACTAAATTGTACATTTGGAAAATGTGCTGCAAGTTGTCACAGGAAATTAGGAATGTCACTTAAATAAAACTTAAATACATCTCCAGCAAATTAACTGTGTAGCGTCACTGATTGTGCAAAACAGACATGGAGCGTTTATCCAAGGCCGAGCCGATGGATGTATCGTCACATTTGAATGGAACAGGATGCTTCAGTCGGCCTTGGTGGCCAGGAACGAGATGCGCGGCCATGAAGCGAAAAGTGCGAGCGGGACCCGAGTGAGACCCTCCGTTCCAAAGCTCATTATCGTAGCCATTACGGCACTCCATTCAAGGCCTGATTAATCTCATCCAGGCGCCTCAAACAGCCAGCCCGATGGGAGGACCGCGACGATATCTGGAGCTGCTAATAAGATAACAGGCGAGATCTGCGCTCCCTCTTAGCGCATTAGCGTTCACACTTTCAATTTGAAACTATTTTCATTATCTGGACCCATAATTTGCCTTTTCCCAGCCACCCAGAGGGATGCTGGAAATGGGAGCTGTCTTCAAGGGCAGGGAATGCTTTGCATGTGAAATCGTCTTTTTGTTCATCAGGAAGTGAGTGTGAAGTACAGGTGAATTTTTGTGGTAGCCTATAAGAGAGATGTATACAGAGACTAAAAGATCCCCTTTGACACAATACAAGGACAATAGCTTGAAGACACTCTCAATGTCACAGGATGTAGCCACGAAGAGCATATGTTCCCAGACAAACACAAATACAGTCCAAACTTCATATTTAAACCCCAAAAATTTGATTTCTTGACGCAAATCCGTATGTCTTCTGCATTCTGATGCCAATCAATGGGATGTGATGATCGGTGCGGCTGTTTCTGCAAAGACTGATAGCACTCATGCAGTGTTTGGGGTTTGAGGTTTGGCCTTGCATACAGCAGAGCAGCACATGGGCAGATTTACGACGTGCTCTCTCTGCTGTTTACCTTAGCCTCTGATTCAACATTGCAGCACAGCGCTCATCTATCACACGCTAACATACGGCAACCGACCAATAGTCTCTGGCATGATTGTTTGACTGCTTCTACTGAAAAATTGTTTTATAAGAAATTGGAGGTTATACTTAATAAAGATGGAGGATGTGGAGCTTTGAAAAGGTTATGAGGTTGGAACAGAAATTGGAAGATTTGAATAACTAACTAAAGTAAAAAGAACTGTTTAAACTAGGAATTCAAATTCCTTGACCATGAAACCACAGAATAAATGTAGAAATGTACACGACCATTGAAAAGTTTGGGGTCAGTTTATTTTTAGAAATAAATATTATTATTCAGTTTATTAAGCAGCACAACTGTTTTCAACATTGATAATTAGAAACGTTACTTGAGCACCAAATCCAAGGATCATGTGACACTGAAGCCTGGAGTAATAATGCTGAAAGTTCAGCTTTGCCACCACAGGAATAAATCAATAAAATGTTTCTTTTAAATTGTAATAATTGTTCAGAATATTACTGTATTACTATATTTTTCAGAATATTACAGAATATTACTAATTAATTGTTCAGAATATTACTGTATTACTATATTTTTGATCAAATAAATGCAGTTTTTTTTTTTTTATCATAAAATACTTCTTTCAAAAACATTAAACAAATCTTACTGACCCCAAACTTTAGAACAGTAGTGAAAGTACTTAGGTACTTACGTCCTGATTGGTCATGTCCCAATATGGCCGCTCTCCATACGACATCACTTCCCACATGACAATCCCGTAGCTCCATACATCACTAGCAGAGGTGAACTTCCTATATTGGATGGCTTCTGGGGCAGTCCATCGAATAGGGATCTTCCCACCCTGTATAAACCCAAATCAAAAACATAATCTCAAATCAAAGCACAAGTTTACATGAAATTTGCAAATCAAATAAAACAAGTCTTCACCAGGGCACTGGTATAGGTGGGGTCTGATGTGTCATCCTCCAAGAAGCGGGAGAGTCCAAAATCAGAAACCTTGCAAACAAGGTTACTGTTAACTAAGATGTTGCGGGCGGCCAGGTCCCTGTGCACGTAATTCATGTCTGCGAGATACTTCATCCCGGAGGCGATCCCTCGTAACATGCCCACCAGCTGAATCACAGTGAACTGCCCATCATTTTGCTGTAAACACGTACAGAATTGAAATGGGTCAAGACATAAAGATACGCGTTTTATTATTTATTTAGCATGAAAATTATTGCATAAAAAAGGACAGAATGCACAATAACAAACAAACATAATCTGGAGTTATTTCACACTAAATCAAATGTGACTTTTTATAGCAAGTTATCTGATGATTGTTAGTGCATGTCTATGTATAGTTTATCTAAATTGCTATAGTATTTACTAATAATATTGATTTATTAATCAATGATAATCAAAAACAGTGATAAGTTAAGTTTAGTCCTTATAAATGTTAAAAACGACTTTCTTATATTACTTTAAATTATGTAATTATTTTTATTATTTGACGATACTGGCCTTGATAGTGAAAATACACCATTTATTATTTAAAACCTTTTTCTTTTATGTTGTTTCTACATTAATTTGAGGATTCAATGTGTAAATATATTTACGATTAGTTCTAGTCAATTAATCACAATTAAAAAAAAACATTTTTTTTTCATAGCCCAATGTCGTTTACAAGGCTTTTGTAAAGGTGAAGAGCACAAAAAAAATAATATTATATGAAATTGTGCTACAATCTTTTGAAATTCTGCAACAGATATCTCTCCTGGGCAACCTATAAATCCCAAACAGCAGCACTAAGACAGGAATAAAGCTGTGGAAATCACGGTTAATGTCTAGTGTGCCCAGTCGGATAAGAGACCGAACCCAATACATTGAGTCAAGCCTGGATTGGGTTGGCTGTGCAAACACTCTGGTGAGGATTGGTAGAGTTTATGCAACGCAATGCTAGATCAGACATTCGATGATCAATGTGGGCCCGTGGCAAATCTTGCAGCTGTTGACCATGGTGGTCAAAAAGCCCTTTGCTCATGAGGAGGTCCAGCAGTTTCTGACCCAGCTGTGCTTGCAGCTGCCTTCATCTGCAGACCCTCCGCAGACAGCCATGAGGCAAACAGCATTCAGCTTCTGATCAGAGACGACGAGTGCAGCCGGCGCAGTGTGGACAGACACGCACGCGTCAAGTGGAGAGAGGCGGAAAGCATTAGACGGTGCATGAAAGACTCATACAATGTCTACATTCTGTGTCGCATACAAACCATTCCTTCTCTAAACTGCTTGTGTTACGCTCAAACCCTTCCCCCATGTCTTTAAGTCGACTTCATCGAACTTCTCCTCACCCTCCACAGCAATTAAGCGGCATCCATTATTCATGAAGCTGAAATCCTTCGCAAATACAGCCTGGCACTCTAATCTGCTCACAGTGTTTGCCTATAGTTTAATTGGAGGGATTCTTCACCCCAAAGTTATTTGGATCTGCAGTCTGAGCAAGCAAACATTCTTTTTATTCCGATTAAACGTGAATTATTCTATCCGTGCCGTTTCTTTTCAGACATGTCTTTGCTGCCGGTTCGGTGAAGCTGTGCTTAACTTTTTTAAGTTTGACGTTTCTCAAATCTGTTTGAAAGTTTGGGCAGAACATCTTTTTGAATTTCTCTCTCTTCTCATGGTTCTTAATCCCCACAAAACAATATTGGACGTTGGATCAATGCAAGAACGTCAGGTTAGCGTAGACTCCCCACCCTCATCAGACTCTTCTAGCGCTTCAGCACTAACACACAATGTTGTCATCTGCTGTCATAGTGAGGTGCCACAACAGAGATGTGTTGTTTTCAAAGAATTCGGCGTTCTGTCAGAAATGGATGAAAAACAACACAATTGAGCGGCTGCACAAAGATCTGAGGTGTTTCAAGCTCCCGCGTGCCACCTAACTGACGTTATGAGAGCATTATATGACACATTAGCTGGTCTTTTTCAAATGTTTTTAACATAGAATTGTGATTTAAACCCTGAGTAAACCTGATGTATGAGGTGTTTTTTTGTAATTTTTCACTTTCACTTTTACTTCTACTTACATTACCAGACATCAGTCTTTTCCTCACGCTATGTCACGGTAGGGCATGTGCGTTCTGTCAAGGTGTGGGCTGTGCAAGTATAAACACGAGCGAAACAATTGGCTGGCCAAACAGCTAAAATAACATCAGAACCTCACAATTACAGAGGTTAGTGAGAGCTGGATCTGATTGTGGTGAGAAGAAATAAATTTATTTCAAATATCTAGCAAATGGCGGGTAGTTTGGTTCCTGTTTACTCGCCTTTGTTTAAACTACACAATCATAGAGGTTTCTTGTTTCAGATAATTACACTTCCCGAGACTAACACCCCGAAAAGCTATGTGTCAAGGATAAAATAAGTTTTCTCTCAAGATAGATAGATCAGAGGCAAAGTCTTACTAATGAGCCAAATAAATCATTCCTTCCCTAAAGATTACATATTAACATAAATCAAAGGCATATTTTCGACGCAATACACAGTGAGGCCAATTAGCAGCGATCAAGGCATCCGAGGCAAAATCAAATTGACGCGTGCCAGTCATAGGCTGACAGAGCCATTTTCTTATCATCCCCCACACTGTTCTGTAAGCGGGGATTTGGATGATTTTTGCACTCGGTTAATCATCTAAATGCGTCTGGATGAATGGATGCTGTTATGGGAAACTGCAGAGAGATGTTTCCTCATGCTAAGAGTTTTCAAATGAAAACAGGACAATTTTCTTATCATTCTGTGTGTTCTACGACATAGGATGTAAGTAAATATGGCGGCTCAGTTTATTAGACAAAACGCTCATCTGATGCTTGTAATGCAGAGAACGTGGCCGAGAGAGCGTGACCAATGTGAAATGAGGGCATGACTAACCACAGAGCAACGATTCAACGAATTCTTTAAAGAGACCGTCTTAAAGCAAATGTTAGTGTGGCAACCCGTAGAGATGAATGGAAGAGTATTGAGTTTATTACAACAGTCCTACAGCTGGAATCAATACTGAGAGTAGATGTTTGCGGCAGGGGGCAGCTGGGTATTACAGAGAGACCCTGTGGAGAATTACCTGATGGACAGCATGAGAAATTAGGAGTGAACATTTGTATGATGTTCAGCATGCTGATGATGTGCATACACACCTGCTGATGTGAGATTATCACTTCAATGCAACCAGTATTTGAGGCATGTTTATGTTACTGAGCTTTTGTTCGCTTGGGGAAATCTTAACATTAATATAAAGAATCAGTTCATTCAGAAGGTCTGTTTCAAAGAAGTCATTGTCCATGAGTGTTCACACATATTTCCCTGCATATTTTGACTTGAATATTTTGAAGTACTAAGGACGGACAATATTAAAATCCTAGACAATACTAATAAGATTACAATTATGTAATGGACAATAAATGATAAATGGCTGATATTAAAATTCAATACTATTTTATCTAAATAAATAAAAAAAATAAATCAAACAAAAATGTATTGTTTTAAAACAAAGGCAAAACAATATTTTAATGTATAGTATGACATTTTTATTAAATATATTTATATTAATTTTATAAATTATATATATATATATCGACGGCAAAAAAAAATGCTACAGGTTTTCTACTAATACAAAGCTTAATGCTAAATCCTGAAGTATCCCTTTAATTTATTGCTGCTTTCAGTTAGGTTATATAGTTTGCATCACACAAATACAGTACTCACCCTGAGGAAAGAGTCCAATGAGCCATTCTCCATGAACTCCGTGATGATCATGACGGGGCTGCTCTTGGTCACCACTCCCTCCAAATGGATGACATTGGGGTGATCAAACTGCCCCATGATGCTCGCTTCGCTCAGGAAGTCTCGCCTCTGCTTCTCTGTGTAACCTGACTTCAGTGTTTTGATGGCCACAAACATCTCTCTCTTCCCTGGGAGCTTTAGGTTTCCACTGCACACCTCTCCAAACTCTCCTTTGGATAAAGACGTATTGTTATTTAGGTTAAGGCACAAAAAAAGCTTCATGGTAAAACATGTTGGATGTTTGGAGGTTTGATTACCTGCTCCAATGACTTGCTCAATTTTCACACAAGAGATATCAATTTCCTTTGCAAACTCCCTCACAGCTTCATTGGGGTCTTCGTAGGTAAATGGATCAATGTAGATCTTCATTCCTGGTGACACTAGGGAATAAAACAAAACTAATTTAAAATACTATATACAATACTGCACATCAGAATAGTCAGTGTAAATGTTTGAAAGCATTAGTGATGTGGGTCTTTGGGAATGGCTGGCTTTCTAGTAGCTTTGGATTCTGAGCCTGATATTGGAGTAGTTCATGACTGCACGCAGTGGAGTGTAACAGCATTTGCTAGGAGAAAGATAAGGCATTTAATGTATGTATCAGCTCTGGAGTGCCATAGTCCCTGATGGAGACCATTTATCAGCAATTTCCATTGCTGCCAATCAAATGGCTTTTGATTGCAGGTAAATTGGCTTAAGGTGAACTTAAATGTGTGGGGACTCATATGTGTGTCATATGAGATTATTCAGCCTCTCGCTCCAAATCTATCCAAAGGCATTTTAATAGGCATTGTGTATTCTTGCAGCTGGAGAGTTTAACTATATATATATATATATATATATATATATTGGTGATCAGGCTGCACAAACATTTTGGAATTGATCAATGTATTCTCACAACAGACAAGGAGAAGATAAATAGAGCGAGAGAAGTGAATGGCATCTAATGTCGAAGGATTTGTGAATGTTAAACTATTATAAAATCATGAGGTTGTAGTGTAGAGCTTGCTTCCAAAAATTAAAATTTGTTATCATTTATTCATTCTCACTTTGTTCCAAACCGTGTAACTTTCTTTCCTCCGTGGAGCACATATGGAAAATGTGTTGATGTTGATGCTGCTCTTTTTCCCATTCCCTTTCATAATATGGACAAGAGCAGCACAAACATTCTGCATAACATTGCCCCTTTTTTACCGAAGAAAACAAAAATTGTGACAGATTTTTCATTTTGGTGACAGAATTTTCATTTTTTAGCAAACTTTTTTAAAAAGAAAAAAAAGAAAAAAACAACAACAAAAAAAAAAACCTGGGTAAGCAAATGAGAAAGAAAGCATGAACAAGACAAGTATGGGTGAGAAGAGAGAGAATCAGAGCACTTTCTTTTCTTGAGCACTAATGGATGAATTCGTTCCTTGATTTTTCTAGGTTTTACCAGCCCCACACTCTTCCAGAAATAATTTCAATAAATACAGCATTTACAGCAGTCCTTTACCAATGATTACACTGTGTAAAAGCTGTTTAAATTGATAAGGAAGGGCAAAGAGAAATAAAACTTGAGGAAAAGTGCCAGACCATTTTCATTCAGCAGAGTGAGCAAGCGAGAGATAAACTATAAGCCCTCAGAGAGCAAGTGAGCGAGCTTAGCTTTAAATTATTGCCTCGAGAGAATCTCAAAGATTTATTTCTGGAACAGCACTCCGAGGCTAAGATGGTATTTACTGAAGTATTGCTCATTTTCTGACTAATCTTTGATGGATCTTACTAACTTTGAAACACCTGGCACTGAGCTCTTTTTGCATTAGATTTGTGTAGTGATGGGAAAATAAACAAGTGGCGGAAAAAGAACTAGGCAAAAGCACAAAGACAAACAACAAAATTACTCGTAGGAAAAGTGGATAATGTGCACTCCGATGAGATTTTTTGAGGAAAACTGGGATTAACATTTCACAGATGAATCTTGAGAAACAGAGGTCTAACTTTGAGACAGTGTGTTTGACGGTGAAAGAGATACAGTAGAGGTGAGGTATGTATGTAACTAAACAAAGTATGGAGAAAAAAATACATTAATACAAAAATACATACTACCATTCAAAAGATTAGAGTTAGTAAGATTTTTGAAAGAAATAAATACTTTTATTCAGCAATGATGCACTAAATGTGACACTAAAGACCATTGCATGGCTACAATATATATATATATATATATATATATATTTTTTTTTTTTTGATAATGCTTCCTTTTACAGTACAGTACTTACAGGGTACTTACAGTTACAGCCCGACCGATAAAGAATTTAGAAGGCCGATACCGATACAAATATTTTTGGGTTTTAAAATCCGATATATCGGCCGATATTTTATTTATTTATTTGAAACTGGACATGATAGTCACAAATTTTGTCATGCTTATTTGAGTCAAGAGAACTGATGGGGATGTTCTTTTAATTGTTATTCAAGCAATGTATGTATCGTGACCAACTCAACGAGTGTTGCCAACAGGAACGGTGTAGAGTGCCCTCTGGTTGACAAACTATACAACTCCAACACTCATGACATGGTTGAAGGGTGTTTCGTCCGTTTTTATTTTATTTTTGAAATATTCATTTATCGGCCATTATAACTGCCAATACCGATAGTTTGGAAAATGTCTAATATCGGCCGATAATATCAGTCTGCCGATATATATCGGTCTGGCTCTACTTACAGTGTACTTACCTAGAAAGTACTGGCAAATATAAGGTAAGTACATGGAACAGGGGTAGGTTCAGGTTTAGTACTAGTTTTTACCCAGTAATTGTAGTTACTAAAATAAGTACATATGATTTACATGGGTAACTGGACTGTAAAAGGAAGCGTTACCTATATTTTTTTACCCCATTACAGGAATAAACCACAGTAATTAACATTTCATTTTACATTACTACTGTATTTACAGTATTTTTGATCAAATAAATGCAGCTTTGGTGAGCATAAGAGCCTTCATTCAAACAGTCTTAAAAAATCTTACTGACCCCAAACTTGAATCACAGGGTATGAAGAAATGTATACATAGTGTGTATAGTACTGCCAAGGCCAAGTACTCACTGTGGCCGCTTGTGTAGTGCTGCAACTTGTCAGTGTATTCTGAATCCGCTCTCTCGAACCCACGTCTGAAAGAACGAAGGCAAACAGCTCTACTTGTACTGTTTAAAAAAGGTGCTAATGCCACGAAAACAACACTTACTACTGCCCACCATCTTGTTAACACAACCTCATCATTAGAGTTTTTACGAGCTCTGCTGCTCTGTAAATGTCCACTAATGAAGCAAATGAGGACACAGGCGTAAGATTTTGACATCATGTTGGTATAATTGGGGGAAAGCTATGCTAATGGTTTACATGTTTAAAACACACTAAAGAGGAACTCACCGGTTGCAAACGATGATGATGACCACCACCGCAATGAGAAAGACCAGACCAGCAGCCGCCGAGCCAATGATGAGAGGCAGCTTCTCTTGAATGCTTGTGTTGTACTCCTCTGTAGGTACACACACACACAAATCCAAAAGTTAGCACTTACTGACAAACCCCACCAGTGTGTCTCTATATATGAAGCAGCCTGAAGCAAGTTCAGACTCTACTGAGGCAGTGTATGTCTACACAGGTGAGAGACCCTCACTTCCTCACTTTCACAGGGGGGAATCTGGGACAGGAAGCCCTGTGCAAGATACCTTCAGGCAGACAGGGCGGTACACTTGGACTCCTTGGCTACAGCAGCATATGGGGAGGCGATAGAGGAAATGTGCTGGTGCAAAACAGACGGATTGGGATGTTGGGAAGGCCTGGGGAACTTTCTTTTCCCTTCCTTTCCTGCCTAGCTTTCTCGTTCTCCTCTAGTTGTTTATAATTACAGACTATTCATTCACAACGCAGACAACCCCCTGGGCTCACTCTGCAACCCTAGAGGCTAAGTAAGCTGCAAGTGTGCTACCAGATTTTACCACATTTAAACACTTGCTCCAAGCTCCCAAAAGCTGATGTCGCAAGTAAACAAAAACCTGAACTTCACCGGGTCTCATGTGAATTCAACTGCACTGTAACTTCCTTTTTAATCGCTTTTAAAACTCTTGGTTAAATCACTCCAAATGAGCATGACACATCCGTGTTTGGATCACCTTGCTGAATTGCTGTCTCTCATCATGCCAGGAGAGAGCTCGGGAGGATAGATCACACTAATTCTGACTCTCCGCTCATAATAAGCGGCTTAGAGAGTAAGGAGCCATGAGTGAGCAGCTGCCTCTGTATGAGGAGATCTGGGAAGGGCAAAACGATGGGCGGCCATCCAATGGCATGTTTTGCGAACAGAATCTAAAAATGGGCCCAGACTAAGAAAAGTAAGCAAATCAGTTTTATTTATGTAACAAATGTGTATGTTTCCCCCCCCAATATTATTCATATTATTAATCATATAAATAATTATCTAAAATATATAGTGTATCTTTATCTACAAATCTGTTCAAATTAATTTTTTTTTACCCAAGATATCAGTTATACTGAATCTAATCAGAAACATGCAGCAGAGAGAGGACAGGGCATTTGGAGATGCTAACATGGATCATCATTAGACGATTAGATTAGTAGATGAACTATCTGCTTCAGCAAGTCAATTACACACAGGCTTGCTCTTAAGATAAGAACTGGGAAAATGATGGACTAAACCATATGCATGTAATTTATTCCCATGAAGCCCACATCTGAATAGGTGATTTTGTATTAAATAAACCATTGTTTTATCATGATTTGGATTAGATATTCACCCTCAGTCATGGTCTGGAAGTACATCTTGCCGCTGAAGCGTCCGAACCCCGCCACCGTACGGGCTCGGACCTGGAAGACGTAGATGCCTCCGGGTTTGAGGCCACGGATGACTGCAGTGTTGGTTTGACTCTTTACTAAGGAAGAATTATGCTCCGTCTGGTCCTGTAACAGAGAAATTATCACAAAAAAAAAAAAGGTCACAAGAGACTCAGAAGAGAACATATGGCTCTCTAACAGTGCTATCTATCTCATCAAACCCCATCAGGAGAGCCCAACTAACAGTGTTGGGCACAGGAATGGTGGCTGACACTTTCAGGCCAGCCACGATTCATTAGTCTGGGTTGAAAGCTGTGGCCACTGTCACGCCGCTTGAGTGTCTGTTTGTGTAAGCAAAGAAGAGAAAGAGTGATAGTGAAGGGGAAGCAGAGAATGTAGGACTCAGTGTGTGTCTATACATGTACTACTTGAGTGCTCCGTTTTTTTCCTGTCAGCTCTATTTCTGAGCTCTGTGATGTGAGCTTTGCTGCAGTGTTTTGCAGTGTTTTGACAGGCGGTCCTCAGCACTGTCTGAGGAAAGGAATTGTACTGAGGAAAGAGTAAGAACAGGAGCAGAGCCCATGGGACAGTCAGCTTGTGTGTGTGTGTGTGTGTGTATATTACAAAGAAAGAAAAGACAGAAAGTATCTGTTAAACTATCGCGTTGTATTTAAGGGTGTGGTTGTCTTATGTGTGTCAACCAGCGCAACAAAGCGAGCGAAACAGGAGACGGAAAGAATATCAGCGTACTATGTGGGTGTGCGTGTTTCTCAAGCACAAGTTAGCGTGTGTGTTTTCTGTGGCCCGCGCTGACAGAGAGGAATCTGTAACTGAAATATTTGTTTTACTTCAGTGAAATCTCTGTTATTTTAGCCACTGGTATCCGGATCGAACCACAACAGCCTTTTGCAAAGCAACTGCGCTTGTAATAAAGTACGACAGAAAAGGAATTCGCTATTCATGTCCGACAGCTGCCAAAACCCTCAATTAAACAGCAATCGAACATCAGCAACCTTTTTCACAAGGAACTTTAATACATTATCATTACTTGGGTTTTTTTTTAGTTCAATTTAGACAAGGCAAGGCAAGTTTATTTATATAGCACATTTAATACACAATGGCAAATCAAAGTGCTTTACATAGAGGAAATTAAAATAATCAAAAGAAATCAGAATAATTAAAACAATTTATGTGAATACTGTTGTTTAATTTTTAATATTTATCATTTATAAGTCACCCTCACATAGGACATGTTAAATGACACTGCATGTGTTAATGCACTAAAAGGGCATTCATGACTCAAGTGTGTTTATGTTTATGTGGTACCTTCTCATAATACTGCAGCTCATAGTCGAGAATGACCCCGTTGGGCTGGTCAGGCTGGGACCAGGAGAGAGTGATGCTGTCAATGGTGCGACTGACCTGATGCATGATAGACACCGTAGAAGGAGCTGGGGAAAAAAAACGGAGACATATTATATGCAGTATTTAAAGATTGATGCAAAACAAGTTGTGGACATGCTGCAATATAAGCATTAAAGCACAGATCCTGGTGTGTGATTAAACAGATGTAAATTGCACAGTGCTGAACCACATAAACAAGGTGGGAAAGGGAATTTCCAGGCCAGGCTCTGTCTCACTTATTGGTCATGGTTTCTCAACGCGATGTAATCTAGCCTGAAATCTCTTCTCTTGTTATATTCTCCTGAAAAGGAAGGCGGACTAATTTTGTGGTGTGCTGAAAACACATAAAACCAGGTGCAATTTCTACTCATGAAAACCACAAGTATGGTGAACACAACTGGCATTTTGTATCTTTGAATTTGTGAATTATAGAGTTTATTTTTTATTAGCATGCCTGGTAATTATGTGGGAGAGTGTCAAACCCTATATTAGTAGCTCTGTTGTGTTGGACTTGTCCAACCTGACTGCTGTACAAAAGAATGCTTCCCTGTTCATTACTGAAATAAAAGTCCAGGGTGTTCCTAATGGCCATTAAGCATTAGAGCGTGGCATACTGGGTCAGAAAAACTCAATGGAGATGCTCGGGAACACAGTTGAAGCAGTAAGGGCTTTCAAGAGGCGGGATTTATGACCCTTGCCGTCTCCAAGGCTCAGGCCCGTTAAGACACGGGCCTCTCCTCAGGCACACACTTCTCTATGAAAAAGCCACTCCTTTGGGAAAGCCCGTCGCTACTATCAGCTTGAGCTTTTGGTCTCCGGGGTTGAAGGAGAGCTTAAGTGGCTTATTCGTGTGCTTATATCCCACTCTTGAGAGCCCATAATGTGTAAATCTGTCTCAAATGCACAGGTGATAGAGAAGCTCTCAAGTCCAGTGCCCACTGCTTAGAGCAGCACTGCTCATTTTCAGCAGGTTTTCTCTCAAGCGGTATCACAAATATGAAATCTTGCAACAAACTTAATTGTTATTAATGATTAAATTGTCTATTTTGTTCATGTTACTTAAAGCATAGGCTTAACATGTATACTCCTTAAGATGTATTCAAATTTATAAAATAAAATAATACAATAAAATGTTACAGACATTACAAATAAAATAATACATAAAATACATAACTTGACCCCAGCTTAAAATAAAAAGAAATTATAAAAAAAAAAAAAAAAAAAATCGAATTTATCCAACCCGACTTAGAAAAAAAGGAAAATAAAAAATGCAGTAAAATCTAACAGTCCAACCTGACTTTTGTACAAAGAAAAGGTCCCTTGTTTATTACTAAAACAAAAGAAAAAATATAAAATAAAATACAAAGATAAAAAACTAAATTAAGTCTAACTTTTCACCACTTTTATTACTAAAGATTTAAATTGAAAACTAAATTTCTAAATAAATACATCACCACAGGCCTAGTCGGACCTAGTGGACATTCATTTATCCACATGTACATGCTGAACAAGCTATAGTCTTGTTGTCCCTGCCAATTAATAAATATAAGTCAGATGATAATGAATGGCTTTCCAGAACCCTGAGCACTACGGGAGGGCTTGTGAATCCTCGGTTGGTATGCGCCACCGTGCTCGGTCCAACCAAGACCTGGGCATCTTTGTCTGTCTTAATGCTGGTGTGCAGTATCAACAGAGGACTAATAAGGTAAGCAGTCAGGCTTCCTCTACAGGGAAATAAATAAATAATAAATTTAAATAAAATAAATATATTTAAAGGCTGACATATGTGCTTTGAGCACTGCATTTACATTGCGCCCGGCCTGTCCCTGGTAATCCAGTCTGGGCTAATGCAAACAAAGTCAAAGCATGTACAGCAGCTCATAAGAGTGAACATATGCCGTTTCGAGAGAATTGAGAAAGCAGATTGTTGCGGTTTTCAGTTACTGAGGGATGTTTTCCTCATGCCTGAATAACATTCGTCTATCACAGAAAGTTAGGGGGCATCATAGTTCAATCTAAAGGAAAACATTAGCGTCATAGGTAAGAAAGCGGCAACTTAAACATCTTAGCGAAGAAAGTGGACTCTCAGAAATGATTATCACAGCTAAAGTGTTTGTTCTGCCAGTGTTTCCACACTATCGCGGTCCATGGTACAGCTGATGAGGACTATTTATCTGCAAGCCTAGGTGCTTAGCTTTTTCCTGGCAGACTGAGTGTTCGGACACATTGTTACGATCACACAATGTGCTGCACGCGGTCTCTGTGCATGAGGAAGAGATGATGTTTGCATATGGGCGCTGAGGAAATCAAACAGATGGAACGGAACGGTCCTGTTTAAAAGTTGGATGGAATAAGGACGAGCTTACAGAGTCATACAATTCCAAACATTTCATTGGTAATTTATTCATCACAGTGCTGGGCATTAACATTTATATGGGCTGTTCTTCTGGACTAATATGACAGACACCAGGGTTTTTGCACACTTTATGACTATTTTGCAAAAGTTTCTGAGAACTAATTCTGTGCTATATGCCAGTATATTTTTACTTCAACGTCTAACAGATCCATAATAAATAATATACACGGTTTACCAAGTTAATTCCACTCATATAAGTTTATTGGTCTGTAATGGGGCATGGACAAAAAAGCCAATTCTTGAGCTCTGATCCAATTGAAGTGCCTCTCAGCCAGTATAACTACAGCAAGCCTGTTTTTTTTTTTTTCTTTTTTTGGATTCTTACTTAGAATCCCAACAAATACTTTTGTTATTTTTGTTTTAAAAAAAGAAACTAAGATTATGCTGCAGGCATTACAGGAATAAATTACATTTTAATATTGAAATGGAAAAGAGTTGAATTGCATTAAATATGTAAAAACATTACCCAAAAGAAAAAGATAATTAAGAAATCATTCTCAGGTGACACTTATTCTGATATAATGTATATGCATATATGTGGGCAGTTTATGTAAATTGCTAAACGTAAAGGATCTATATTAAAAATATGCTTGATTGAATTAATATGTATGTGTGTGTGTGTTTAAATTTAATTCAATCAAGCATATTTGTAATAGAGATATTTTTTTATTAATTTACATAATATCAGAGTAAGTGTCACCTGAGAATAATTTCTTAATTATAGGTGGTTAATGACTAATGAGTGATAATTAGAGACAGGGCGTACAGTGAGTGAGCAAAGAACCAAAAGCTCTACCTAATAATCATATAAAAGGCTCTTAGAGTTGTGGAATGTTCTCTCAACTCCACTGGCTCTGCACTACGGGTCTATAATAGGTTTGGAAGGCATGTGGATCTCATTTGGAGCAAAGTTGTGGTGTGGAAGAGCGATGTAGTGATTTGGTAAGGTTGGTAGAAGTAGCCCTTACAGGTCAGGTCAGCGCTTATAAATTTCGTCCACCCCCGTCGACTCCCCGAGCCCCTTTTACGGTAAAACTTTTCCCCACAGCAAGCTTTTCCCAGCACAATCTGACAGCAGCTGCTGTTCCTCTACCACGCAGGACCGTACACTGCAAGTATTCCCTGTTTACGAGACTCACGTCCAGAGAGAGCCAGAAAAAGGAGGGGAAGAATCCACTGCATTTGCATGTAACATTTAGCAATGGTGTACGGCCTAAAAAAAAAAAGGCAGAGAGAAACAGTGAGTCTGGCAGGCGTCCCTATTTCCCATCTGTATTGGATTGAGGGTTTTATGTCTCCACCGAGTTTCCAGTGCCGTAAAGCAGCGCACCCCCTTTTCAGTTCATCAAGCTTTAAACCATCTGCACTGGAAAAGATTGAAGCATTAATGTACTCGTATACACACCATAAGCTAATTCAAAAAATAGGCACTTCAGCGTCTTAAGAAGATTGCAGACACTTACAGAGAGTTTGAGTCTAATCTGAAACCCTAAGCATGGTTTCACTGTTCAAGGAACTCTGGTGTTTAGTGAAAACGCAAGAAAGTCTATAAATGGCAGCTGTCCAATGACGTGGATTAGCAGTTATGCATAGATGCATGTATGTCGACTGCCATCTTACAGATCTCACAATCTTCACAGACAATCAGAGGTCTGTTGGCACATCACATCTAAACAAGGGAACCTGTTCAACTCTTGTTCTTTTTGTTAACAGAGAGGAGGACAAATTATATTACCGTTCGTGATTTTGTTATCCTGCCATGATTTATTTGGATCAAGACTTAGGCACAAGGACAGTGAGAAAATCACATGATCCCAAGCCAGTACGTGATTTTAGCCTAAGACTTTGGACTAAAAAATAACCTAGGGAATCAAATTACAGAAAAACAGATACAACATTTTCATTTGAATATCTTCATGATATATTAAGATATCATTTCTAATAATCTTTTAGCTAGTATTCTTTTAGAAGAAGTCTAAATAGATGCTGAAACATAAATCAGGGATGTATTTACAGTACATCTAAAATGCTGAGAGCTGACAGAGTATCCACAAATGGGAGATCACTTCTGTCTGAGAGCTATAAAACTAACCTTATTAGCCGTCTTTGTCATTGCTCATAGCTTTGGTGTCTTTTTGTTCTGTACATTACTTCTGATAGACTAGATGAATGCAAAGATGTGAAAAACAGAAAAATGCTACTTTTGTGCTTAATTTTATCGCTATTCAAAGGACTTATTCACCTCACTGGGTTTGTTTTTTTAAATAATAATAAAAACAAGGAACTCCCACACATTATTAATACTTGCAAATGAGTATCAAAATTTTATTAGCAACTAATAAAATATTGCGAAATATTCCAATTGAAGATTCAGTGTGATGTTTTGATCTTGAAATCTATGTGCAAGGAGTAGAAAAGTAAATAAAAGAAATGCAGCGGAGGGGCTTGGATATGTTTAAGCCTCGGATTTCAGGATCTTATCAAACAGCCGTTTCATACACTGGACATTTGTTTATGCGTTTTGGTCTTTTTTAAATATTTCACAAAAACACAATAAACTTCTCCATTTCCAGCAATAAATCAACATGTCTAATAGAGCCTTTGCATCTGTCACTTCAGTGCTTTGTTAAT